TCAGTGTATGCATAGTATATTTACTTCACAAATTTAAGTAAAAGAATCGTAAAGTTTCCATAGTCGATTGTTTCATGTCGTGATGATCATGAATGTGTCTATCTGGGTTTCCTATATAACACGAAAGTTAGAAAATATGAATGTGCCTTTGATAGGCGCGTGTAAATCGTTAGGAGCATCGCCGCGGTGCAATTTTATCGCGAAAGTGCGCGAGTACAAGTGCGACGCGTAAAAGCCGGCGGATTATTGTTTGTCGGCCATGTCTGTTTGTCGCGTTACAAAGATCGCTACTTAAGTCGTACACGGTGAAAGTTACGAACCGAGAATGCCTTCCCACTCGGCGAAGTGACGAATCTTGTCGATCCCGCCGAGCGGATCATCAGTGGGCCGTGTATCTCGCGATTAATCATCGCGATAAACGGTGATCCTACGACGTGTCTTGTTCTTAGTGGTCGCCGTTTGTTTCGGATGTTTTCCCTCTCCCGCGGTAATGGAAATCGCGACGATAACTCAACGGCAGCAACGTATATCGGAGCATGCCGCGTGCATCCATTTGTCCGCGAACGATCGAAGCGCGATATGAATTTAGAGAGGCGTCGATCTGAAAAAAACCTACATATATATATATATATATATATATATATATATATATATATATATATATATATTGTATATTTCGCAATATATGTGTGGTGCGAAAAATAAAATTCGCGTTCAACGTGCAGCATCGACACCTCTCTCTCTCTTTCTTCCTATCTCTGTTTTCAAACGCGTTTACGATCAATTTCACCTAGCGAGGCCATTCCCGCTCTAGCGAGGCCCCGAGGAAAATTGAACGCGTCAACGATTATTCGCTATTACCGGTCGTTTAAGAGCTCGAAGAAACACGTCGATATAACTTTCCACCGGGTGGATATTAATGTTAGATCGCGGCCAAGCGAGACGGCGCCGATGCATTTCGTACGAAGAAATCGTGCCGATAATGCCTACCATTTTCCGGACGATGAGATCGCATAATCGAGCTTTCTCGTTCTAAATATATGTTTTCCTCTTTCTTTTGGTCCTTTTTTCGCGAGGATTCACAGCACACGCGGTACTAACGGCATCGCGAAATTCGCGAGTGTCAGAGACAGCCGAGAAATTTCTTAGCCGGACACGCGTCAGATCAGAAGTTCGTCGGGGGGTTGAGAGCACAAAGTAAATTAATGTTTGTACACGTGTCACCAAGCACTCGAGAGAAGGAGAGAAGGAAGAAAAAATACGGCGCGACTCTCACGGAAAAGTCGGACGTTATCCGTATCAGGACTCGCACAGAATCCTCTCGGCCCCTTGAGGGGTTGCTTCGTCGCCAACGAGCGCGTCGCGGAACGGTGACAAGGTGGAGAGCACGACGAGAGGCGGAGGCGAGAGGATAGAGGGCCATATCACGGCGACTCTTCCTGCGACGACGACGACGAGATCCGAAGGGTTTTCGCGCCGGCGGCTGCTGCGGGGGTGAAAGTGGGGTCTTAAAAGGTTCCGGTGGGAAACCCAGCAGGGCGTGAATGGCTCCAGACACGCTGGAGGTGCCCGGAACGTTTCGTTAGAGGCGTGAGAGCGACAGAGAAAGAGAGAGAGAGAGAGAGAGAGAGAGAGAGAGAGAGAGAGAGGAGAAAAAGAGTGGCTATGGAACGGAAGGGGATTGAGGGGGATTGTACGC